AAGCAGCTTAGGTTATCTAGATGATTCGGATTTTGAGTGATTGTTCAAGCGGTGCTTAGAAGGCGTGCATGACTCGACTCCACTTAGCTCACTCGTCTTCGCCCAAGAATCATGAGCAGCTACTACGAGGATTTCTTGGTAGTAAACTTATTAGGTGCGTTCAAAAATTCCTCTATTTCACATAGATTGATTTCATATTGAGAAATAGGGGATATTCCAGTGGTGGAGGGGCATCGTGATGCAGTTTTTCCAGAAAGCTAGGGTAACTCCGAGCCAGGGGAGTGTAGCCAGTCTAGGGGGTGAGGGCAACTTGACATGCGTGAAAAGCTGGAATGTTCGAGTTCACACTAGTTCGCCGAGAAACTGCATCATCATGCCCCCCCCCCCCTAACTGGAATAGACCCAAAAAATCGCATAGTGTCCAGTGCTAGCGTAGCTGAACAGCTTTTTATGTCTAGCGATCAAATCGCTGGCCGTGCTCTAGAAATGCGCATCGCATCAGCATATCCATTCTTATTCAAGCATTATTCCTTCAGGTCCTGATATTATTGTATTTTTGAAGTACCAATCGATAAAAGGCTTGACTTCAGTAATTTTTTGTACTGGCCCTTTGTCTGGCAACGTTATTGCAGAACAGGTTTGACTAGGCAGAAATTTCTTGTGTTAAAACCAGTCCTCCATATTGTTCGAAGACGATCTTTGGACGTGATGAAGATCTCATAGAGTCAGACATGCGCTGTGGATATTTTCGAATGAAAGAGAATATCCTTCCATGAATTACAAGGATGTGATAATCATTTTGCTTCCCTGTAACCTGTGAAGGCAATACTCGCCAATAGAACGAATGGGGATGATCCTGGTCAAATTCAATACTTGTGGGTGCAAGGCTACAAGTGAAGAAAAGAAGGTAATTCGTAACAAAAGAAAGTTTATGAAGGCGTCAATAGGAAACATCTTCACCAGCCTCGAGGTTGTTATTGGTAGGCATACACATTGAAACGGGTCCGCCGGATCGCTAGCTCTGTGCCAGCTGCGCGGCCGGAACGCTGCCGATGCTAAAATTAGGGACCTATTATAAAATCAAGGATGTCCATTTCTCACGTAGCCACGCTGCGTCCTGTGGGGCTCGGTGGACGCGTGATTACTGGAACCTGGGATGATTCTTAGGATTAGGCTCACACATTGGCTTATGCTCAAGCCTAGGATTAGGGTTAGTCTTGAAGGCAAAACTCCCGATAAGCTGACACTATTAAAATAGAGTAGAATGTTTAATAGTGCCCGTATGAAAAAAAAACAAGCAAAGTTGTCAAGAACACAGGAAAAAGCACTCGCCTCCCCCATTTATTTGATATTTGGACGAGATAGCCACAAATGTTGGCCTCTGTGTGGTCGCTGCAGAGAATCTCCTTTTGTAATCGTATCATTAGTAGTTATTTCATATGTTATCGTTGTAGTGGTACGTGCTCGTACTGCATAGAAGAAAGTCCGTATGCAAAAGCAAAAGCTATTAGCAAGACCTGTTAGTGTTAGTAAGACTTCAAGGTGAGACGACTTAACATAAGGCGCTGCTAAGAGATACCGCGCAACTGGTTGGGGTACGGTATGTCGGTTCCATTGCACAATTTTGCACTTCGTATAACGTTGCCTAGGTCTATCTGCACGAAGCGCACATTGCGTCTACTCGGATCTTCCCTGGCCTCGTTCATACCTATCTTCATAATCTTTGCCTTCGGAGGCGCAGATTGTGATCAAATTGATGTGTTATTTTGTTAGGAAACTGAGCGAAAAGTGTTTTGAGCAGCGTGAGTGAGGAGGAAAGGCCAAAAGCACCAACACTGAAATTTTTCTTGCAAGGCCGGCCGTGATATGACCGAGAGAGCAAGTCGTACGTGAGAGAAGCAAATGCCACAAATGCCGTGATTCATCGGGTGGCAGCACACGCAGCATCCAAGGCAAGTCTTAGCTCCCTTGCTGTGCGAATTTGAGTGGCGGCTCCTGGCCTTCGGGATCCCTTTTTCTCACTCAAAAAAGAGCTGCCGCCTGGAAGCTGAGATCCATACACGTCACTTTCAAGCTTGCTACGTGCAATTTTAGGCGTTCGACGGAGATTGATATGCACATACACAAAATTGTGGCCGCATTCTTTTGGCAGCCCAGCGATGCCGCCGACAGCGCAAGGCGGGGCTTGTAGACGAAAATGTTGCGGGTTGAAATAGGCTTGAGGACACATTAAAGGCAAAAGTCGGGCTCAATAGGGGGTATTATGGCGATTGAAACTGAGTATACAGGGGTGGCCAAAAAAAAGAGACACTTCACTCAGACAGCGTTAATTAGATTCAGCTAAACTCACATGGACTGCTCCCAACTTAGTATTAAAGAGCACATCCCAATCTATCAATGAATTTTATAATAGCCTTCTGCACCAATGATATCACAAGAATTTATCATGGGAACCTTGGGGCACGGTTCCAGCTCCACTGGTAATTAGCGCATCATGGACCATTACGACGTTATCTGAAACGCTGGTCAGGAGGGTCTTGCATGTTCAGAGCTACTGTTCCTGGGAAGTAATCCGACAGTTAACCGATTGAAGAAATTGCGTAGCAGCTTCAGGCTGGAACGATTACTTCAGGCCTTCTCAAGCTCAGTGGTGGCGGAAGATGACGTCATATTTCGAGGACGGTGAAGGCAGTGGGGGAGGGAATGCTTCTACTCGTGGGAGACATTCAAGGGATATTTTGCTGTAGAAACTCCATCAACAACGGTACCCTGTGCGATGAAAGGCTTGATGATGTGCGCCACGGGCTAAGTGTCTTTTTTTTTTGGCCACCCCTATAGAGATGCGAAAGTAGAACGACAGTGGAGAAAAAACTGAGAAAAACCGTCGACAAGGCCGTTAACAAAACCCTCTTTCCACTAGCAGTGAAGGAGGCTGGCTTGGGGAAGAGGCACGTACAAACAAGTTTTCTGAAGATATCAGTCGTTCTATCGGTTGATACGGCAATCAACCTAGCTGATTTCACACGTTATGCCAGCCATGCACCACATCCCAGGTGGGCGGTCGTAGCGGGGCCAGGCGGCGATAGCGCATAGTACATGCCCTGGGGCCTTATTACTGCGCCGTTTCGGGTTTTGAGTGTGGGAACATCTCTACGGGTGCGTAACCAAGTACAGGCATGACCGAAAGGGTTGGTTTGGTTAACCCATTGCGGACCGCGTGCTGCACCATGTGCAGCACGCCACCTTGCGGAGAAGGATAGTAATCTTCGATTTTTTCAACATTTTGCTAAGTTACAAAATCAGCAGTTTGCTTTTTCACACACAGGATATATCAAGTACTTGCGTACTGGTTAAATTTTCGATAGATTATTGGCCACGGATAAAAGAGATGACAAAAACCTACGGAGGTGCAATTATAACGGCGGTCCGCAATGGGTTAACTAATCCCGACTTGGCTATTTAAGTGATAGAAAAGTTGGTAGCGAGGGTCTCCTTGCATGTGAAGTTGCTACTGCGTAGTGAAGGTACTATGAAAAAATGAAGTTATGGTTGGAGAAATCTCGTGATGAGAAGGAAAAGTGCAAAAAGACAGCCAGGAAAATGAGACGAGGGCGGATATCGGATCCGAGGAAGTTTCTTCCAGAGGTACGAGGAAGTTTTCTTCAGGTCCAGGGATCCGGACAAGATGTGGACACCACTCTCACACCCTCAGCGAAGGAAGGAACCATAAGAGAGGGCTGTTACTGCGTCGTATACGCCACCTAGTATGAAACACTACAGATCGAGCTCTATGTAGCTTCCGATTGCACTATCAACAGTTTTTCATGGGAAGGATGCAGCATTACATCTGAGGGATTATGCACGAATCACTTCTTTGCCCCTCATTCATGAATGTCAATTGGTGATCATCAATGAATAGTACTAAGCTCCATGAATGAAATTCATTTTTCGTGAAGGAACCCGAGCAGAGGAGTGAGAACTTCCTGCCGAGGTCCAGTCGCGAGCACTTGTAACAGTTCTGCGGCGCGAATTTGAACGAGTAATAGTTTTCTGTCTTTGGATTCTGGAATGGTATTCGAACAAAATGTAGATTTTCTGTTTTTTTGGTTAGGATGGTGTATCATGGGGGGGGGGGTACCGACAGGAGGCCCGTCGCGCGGCAAGAAGGCAGAGTCAGCGGACGAGTCGCAGCGCGTGATGTGCGATGTAGGACGTACAATGGTACATTCTATTTAACTTGACGCGAAATCACTACAGTACGCGCTGCGACTCGTCCGCTGACTTGCCTTGTTGCCGCGCGACGGGCCTCCTGTCGGTACCGTAGTATGGGTCTCGAACTATTGATTCCTTGAAATTGAACATATGGATTTTCTAAAACACCGCCATTTTGATAAAGTTCTCATCGATGTTAAGTGCATTTATTTAGAATGAGATTTCTTGTAGGCGGTGAACGGGTTGAACTTACCGTCCCGTGACTAGCGATTTGTATGTGACTGTACAACTACTGAAATGTCTTATTCATTCTTTATCTTTGTTCTAAATGTCGCATCAAAGATGAGGCTGTTCTGTGTTGCCATTCTCCATTGACATATTTTCCATAGAGAACTCCCCCATGCACTTTTCTTCAGTAATGGATAATGATGAATTGTACAGGCAAAATGCAGGGTATTTGTCGTGAATTAGCAAGACCATGAAAGAGGCTTGACTAGCTAATTGTCAATATGCACTTTCATCGCACCCACGTAGCTGTTCATTCAGCGCTAGTACTTCTCATAGTGATATTGCGTTGTTAAGAAATGCTAATCGCTACAGTTACCACTGGCATAGCTGTCAAGTGGTTACTTTACCCTGGATTTTTCACCAAATTGTTTTCAACATGTCGCATTGCTTACTTGCTTTGTTTTATTGCTTTTGCAATGAACTTTTTGTATGCACTTCCTGATTGATTATTATTTCTTTTTTGCTATTTCTAACTAAAATCTATTATTGATCTTCCAGCCAAGCTGTCTGCTCCAGAAGATTCGGCGCGAGCTGCATCACGGCCGCGGAATCGCTCATTGAAGGTGAGTATTGTATTTACAAACTACATTAACCCTTTGACGACCGCCGTTATGAATGCGTCACTTCACTTCTTTCTAAATTTTTTCATCAATAATCATTAACTCTCCAACAATTTCACTATTAGTAATTAGCGCATTATTCCGCGAATTCGATGAATGTATTTGTGTAGTTTTGAAACATAAAAAATGCCAAAATAAACCCCTAAAAACGTGTCGCCACCGAGCGAAAGTGTGGCCCACCGGCGGGCCACACGGTCGTCAAAGGGTTAGCACGGGTCGATCCTGCTACCATAAATGACTCTTGGAACAGGTGGAAAAGTCACTTGCGAATCTTTTGACTAGTTTAGTTGATCTTGGCTTTGGAGTTCCATGAGGTATGTTTCTGTGAATCATCCGCGATGAAGAGGTGTGCCACAATAAGCTCCTATGGTGCAGGTGTATCACCGCTGAGGTGGGAATGGGGCACCAACTCACTACATTGTGTCACAAGCCGGATACTTGGCTTTATCACAAACCCCGGTCTCAAATTAGTGGGGCATAGCTAAAGGCCATGCAAATCTTGCCCTGTACGTACGTAATGGGAGAAAGCGCAGCTTGGTAAGTGCTTTTAATTCCGCGTAAAAAGGCAAACTAGCTTGCTCGAATGGTTTGGAAGACACGTGAACACATTACAAGTTGATTAATCGCTTTTTGAGACACGCCGTACACTCCGCTTTCATTCGGAATCGTAGTTGCAATTGAATGCACTTGGTCCATACCATGGATTGCGTGGGCCCGCCGATGTACAAGTCTGTGTTCTTATCTTCCCCCACAATTCTGATAAAAATAGCTGCTTCTTAGAAAGGTGGACGGCCCCCTTGGCCTGGACACTGTGCAATCCGGGATTTGATCTCAACACACACGCGTGGTGAGCGCCACCAATATCTCCTCCATCATTTTCTAGCTGTGACAAAGAAAATGCTGTGAAAAAATTTCATAAAAATTACCTTTTTGTCGTGCTCTCTTCTCACGTCCTTCTTTTGATACTTTTGCGTGCAGTCTTTGGAGTATTCGAGAAAAGTTGCACTTGTTCAGCAAAAAATTTACGTCGAAGCTCCATCGTGAGTCCTGCCTTGAAATGCAGAGCTACTGAAGCATGGATGTGGCCGGCGTTGAAAGCCGCTTAACTCTCTTGAATTCGAGCGGACTTTGTTTTTGATTTCATCGCAAGCTTTCAGGGCATATGAGAAGAGAATGAAATGCTTCTTACAAGGGAAGGATACCAAACTTATAAGGTGCCATCCAATCGAACTATACTCAGAGATGTGTTTTCGGACGCTGATCTCGAATCCACTCTCCAAATTTGCGAAACGATTATCTGAAAAGTGTTACGGAGGTTGTTTCGAATGAAAGCCCACTGTAAGATACTCGGCAGAGCTCGTTCTAGCGGCGGTGGCTTAGCCGAGTGGTAGTGTTGGCGGCTTGCAGTGGTAAAACCAGGAATGGACTCTTGCTGGACATGAGTTTTTTGCTTTTTGTAATTAGGTCTAATTTAAATATAAAAAATTATTCAGTGTTGAAATTTTCACTGCATCCAAAGCTAACGCATGTTTAGAGGGGTTTGTTTAACGCATTCCACTTTTTTCGTAATGTTTCGACCACTGCCGGGGTGTTTCTACGCCACGGAAGTGACGTATATCCGACGATGGGCTAAACAATGGGAGATGCTTGCTCAACGGACCAAACTATCTTTGAAGGCTTAATTCTAGAAAGCTGACATTTATGGACCAATTTTCGAAACTCGCGTCCACTAATGCATTAGTGTGTTATCCGCCCAGCCACTACCTGGTCCTTCTCTGTCCTGCTCCTCTTGGGCAGCGAGCGTGTACATGAAAAAATATCATATTAATCTTCGGATGGCACGAGCAAGTAGAGCAGGCAACTATATCTCTTTCACAATAATGACTGAAAGTTTAATTCAATCCCACGATCAGGCTCTGACAGTGGGTTGATGGATAGATGACTGCCCACATTTTCGACTTCAGGTCAAAATTTTAGATTTGGACCAAATGTTGTTGAAAGGGGTACGTTTTGACGCGCTGAACACATCGCATTTCACTTGCAACGAAATGTGACAGCTTGCGCTCCAGTGTCAGAGGCGGTCACTTGCAAATGACGCGCACAGTGCTCGAAGCTCTTCGCCAGCTCTGTTTACTTGTGCTATAGGCAATCGCTGATAACTTAGCATGGATAAGAGTCCCTTAAACAACGTTCACAAGAAAAGCAAAAGTGAGAACTCGCCAAGAACTCGAACTCACGACCTCTCGTTCGTTGAGCCGCACCGCTGCCACTGCACTATCTCGCTTCATAACTACGTTCAGTTCAAAGAGTTGTCGGCTCTCGCCAGATTTGCAGAGTTAGCGACGGATTTGAGGACTACGGTCAGACTAAAACAAACAGCGACATCTAGTGAGGTGAAGTGGCTCTCCTTACAAATGGCTTTGCCACTTCTACCTGGTATCCTTTCCCTTGTTAGAACAAGTCGCTTAGGGTGGCTCTTCGGTCAATCACATCTTAATTCTCATGCTAAGTTTCTCGTTACAATTTTACGTCATACACTAAGGGGGATATCAAATAAGGAAAACACTAGTTGTTCAGCCTGGTATCCAACTACTGCCAGCTCAAAGAATTGCGTTAAACTACAAAAGCGCCCTGTAAAGCGTACGCGTGAGACACATTGCCCTGAGACATTTATTAGGGGTAAGGGAGCGGCGGCAGCAAGCCTTTGTTGAGTGAACCGTGACATGAACCCAGGTGAATTTCCATGTCTGTGGCACAAATATTCCACAGGGCAGGCCATCAATAAATGCTGTGGTGCCAAATGGATGGTTTTGAAAGGGCTGCCGCCATAGAAATCCTCACATTGATTCCCTTGTAGTGTGTGCATGTCTATTGACAAATACGACGCTACACCAGTAAGACATTGCGGAATCCTACCCTTCTTGAATTCACCATCAGTGAGGTGAGGTTCGGAAATGCTTATGACTTTATGCCGCAGCTACAGTCAGGAAGGCCATTGAATGGAGAGAGCTTGCACCTAAAGCTACAGCGTTACTTTGTTAAAGGCATGCCCCAGGATCACACTGGTGTGGCTCTTGCACACGAATGAATGTATTGGTGCCAAGTGGGCCGGCAGTGAAGAAAAAAGGAAAAGAATCCGTCGAAAACGCTTAGGTTAAGGGCTCACTCACCTTCCTAATCGGCTGTGCTAAGGGAATGAGAGACTAAGCGCGGAGAGTATGAGGCGAGAGAGCGCTACAGATGAGAGAGCGCCAGACAACAGCCTGATAAGAGAAAAAATCTGCAGCTTCAGCAGCTTACTTTGCAAGGCCCAAGCGCTCTTGTCGGTTGGTTTCCGTGCACGGGAACGCCACATTTGTGATTGTTCTAGGGGTCTATACTACAGACCGAAGGGAAGCGTTCACACGACCTCTGCCTGGGTTGTGCCTTTAGGTTCTGCCGCTGTTTAGTGTTTTTGTTCGATGAACGCTGTATTTTTTTGTTTAGAAGTCCGCAGCAGTACAGGATGATGAGCCATCGTTGTTGGATATGGGACGGCGAGCTGCCTCATTCGAGACATGCCAGGCCTCGACCGTCAAAGCCTCGCCATGTAGGTTCTTCAAAGTTTCTCAGTTTTACTGTCTTGCTCTGGGTGAAGAAAGGGTCGCTTGCTGCGAAAACGCTGTTTTTGCGCTTTGTGCTCTGCAGTGTTGACTAAAACTTAATACACTAAACGCACGGAATTATTTATTGGCTTCGCCCTTCTAGCTAACAGCTACCGTGAACGCTAAGTTTGGTACGACGCGTGCCACCTCCGATTTTGCAGACTTTAACCCAATGTTTCGCTTGTTTGCAATTTCAGCACTGCGACCGGCATCGTTTGACTCACGAATGTCGGCGTTCTCTCCAGTGGACGTGCCACGGTTACTCGTCCATTCACCGGCATCTCCGCTAGCCATGGAGCCACCTCCGCAGGCCACCGACAGTCGGCTGCTGACCGTGCCATCGCCGGACTACCGAAAAATGTCTTGTGAGTACTAACATGTTGCCCAGAAATGAACATAACAGCAGCGCGCTAATCGCTATGCTCCTTCATAATCGCTCGCTTGGCTTGGTGCCCTGAGGGCGGTGCTTCACATAATTTTACTACTGTTGTCCTGCTGTGTACCCCATGACGTATTTCTTGCGACAAGCGACTCGACCACTCCCGTCGCCGGCTGACGAAATACGATGGCTAAATCCCATGTCCCAGGCACTAACACTTGCATACTTAGATTTCTTTTCTTGAGTCTCAAGTGAGGCGTGACTTTATTCCGGAAACACAATGAGTTTTGCAGCCTTTTGCAGCATTATGTGCAAAAATGTTCGAAAGAAATGTATGTAGAAAAGCTAGTTCCCGTTAGTGAACGATTGTGAGCTACACTTGGGGAGATCTTGGTTGATGTGGGCATTGAAAGGCTCAGAGGCTTCCATTTCTTCAACAAAGGAAATCTTTTGCAGACTCCGAAATGGGGTTTGAGTGCAGATTTTGCAGGACTTAAAATTACAAGGTGTTCAGGAAATTGCTTTAAGATGGAACGCCATGAAGTTACTTTTTGCTCGAGAAGTCTCTTTTTAATGGAGTACAAATCAGGCTTAGAAGGCTATGCAGATATTTGCTAATTCTTAATCTGCTTCTTTTCTTGGCAGCGAAATTTCCGAGGCTGTCAAACGATTCGTCGTCAGTTTCAGCTTTACGGCCTCATTCTACGAAAAAGCGATAAGCGTTTCTTACGGACGCGTTTCCAGTATTGAGATTCTCCTCTGAATAGAAATATGAAAGCGGATAATTCAGTAGGCTAACGATGGTCTACATAAGGGCATATTTGGAGAAAAGCACACTGGAGAGGCTTTCTCAGAGCCTTGTCGAGCCCAAGTGGAAGTAGAACATTCCCATAAACCACACATGAATGGGGGTGTATCTCAAGTCTGTTTAGTTGTTAAATTCAGAATGTTCCTTGTTTTTGGAGTGGTGACCCAATCGAAATTCGTAAATAGTATTTTTCACATTGAACTATGCCAAGATTGAGAGAAGGTCGATCTTGGACGATTTTTCATATTTTTATATTCATTATTTTTTCGAGCAATCCTATTCTGCTTACCGCACTTGCTACTAGTTTCTTGCAACGTGCACTTATTTCGTGATAAAATCTTTCTGTTCAGGTGAGTCTCCCAAAGCTAGCGACTACATCACGATGGGTTTGGCTCCGGCGATTCTCGGCCAATTAACGGCAATTGCATCGACGATGATGACACCCACGACGATGGACGAAGTTAAACCGTCACCAATCCAAGTTTGTAACGCTTACGATTTTTTGTTTTGTCTGGCTGCTGGAGGAACAGCCACTTGTAAGAGGAAATGACTTGATTAGAAGCTAATGGGATTGGTCATCTTCTATTCGGTAGTTCTGAATTACCCCTCAGAAGCCTTTTTCTCGCTGCCTCTGTATCGCTTCTGCTGTTCTGTCCTCGTTTCGCTCCTCCATGGGTCATTGGTAGGTAGACGCTTCTAGCACATGAGTCACCTCTTCAGGAGTTGGCAAAGAGCTCGGCTGGTTTACTAATGGTAATCGAAAAAATACATATATTGAAATTTTGATAGTCAGCTCGTACTCAGACGAATACATGAGTCCGAGCGGCCTAGCAGCCTTACTAATCGAGGTGTTTCCGAGGTATCGCATTGCGTACCACGTGCGCCGCCGTGTGACACACGATTTCACACGAAATAGCGAAATAGTTTCATCTGATTTATTTGGCATTTTTCAATGCTCCTAAACTGTTTGCACTCATTTTAAAGCTGCGAAACAATACGTGTCATCACTGATAAAATTGTTATTAGATTAATGATGATTCATTTTTAAAACATAAGAAAGTCACGGAGATACTCGTGCAGCGGGTGGTCCGCAATGTAGTCAAAAACCTTACATTTTTGGGTGCTCGGGAAGTCTATAATGTGTCGGAAAATAACTCACTCAGATTCCTCCGGATCTTAATGGTGTCGTATCATTTTCTCACTTTGGACTTCCTTCCTTCGCTTATTTTCCTCTTCCAGTTGTTCACTTGCTGTTGTCTTCTCTGCTAGTTTTTGTTCCTGCTTGCAGTCCTTTTTATTTTGAAATAAGGTCGATCAAGTTTAGATGTCCCCTCAATGATTGTCACGGAGTCAAATTGCCCTGAAAGCTCGCCTTACGCAGTAGTTGGCAACTTTCCCAAAAGTATCCCTCATGATGTGGGACTAAACGATTTCTAGGTGGTCCTGCTTATTTTTCGATCCAAACATCTGCCAAATAATAAGAAACCATCCATTTCTGAGAAGTCGTGCTCGGGAATGGTATCCACTTAGGTATCTCATCTCTTAAAGGCAGCGATTACGATAGGTTCAAGAAGGGTTTAAAGGAGACGTGGTGGTGCTCAATGGTACGCCAGTGGCGAAAAAAGCGGGAAATCCGTCAAAAAACGCAAAACGGGACCCTTTTTTGGCCGTTGGTTTTCACTCATGAACAGGTAACAGCTCAGAAAGCGGACGTATGCGGGCGTTTGGTAACACCATGCCAAACCACGCTCCAATCGAGTTGCTCCAGTTGTGCCGCTGCTGGCAACGCAGCTCGTCCAAATCACCAACTAAACTAGTGGGCGGATCGCTTTTGGGGGCGGAGTGCTTTCGAAGTCCTGCTCAGCAACCAGCGCACCTTTCGTCGTGAAAGCGCCACACCTCGCTTCCTGGCAGCCAAGTAACTGATTCGTGTGGTGCATATGCTTCCCCGATGCGCTCCACTTTATCGTAATCGCTGCCTTTAACGGATACTGTTTTTCGTAAATGTTTTCTCTTAAGATGTGTTTCGCACAAAGAAGGCGCCACCATTAGAAGGAAATATGGGGAAAAGCCAAGGCGAAAGCAAGTCCTAAGGGAGAGAAAACTAACATGGCTCCGGTTGACTTGGCTAGTCGAAAGGAGTGACTCGACGAGAAACAGTCGTCAGTGGAAGATCAGGGTATGAAGAAGATCTCAGTTCCGAGCACCACTTGCCAGAATTGAGTGCCTTTCTTATAACGAGGCACTTGCCTGGATGGGAAAGCCTGTAACGACACTTCAGCTCCTTGTCCTGCGGATGCTGGAAGATATTGGCAATCACTGACGCGACATAGTCGAAGTTCAGGATCAGACCACTTAAGAAGCCCTCACCGTGGCTAGAAGTGCTAGGTACGCAAGTGCAGAGGTCGCGCCACCTTTACATCGAAAGCGTTACTAGACGCTAGGCGCTAAGGACTTTAACAGACTCCACCAAACTGTCATGGTCCGCCCACCGCTCGATATCTTGTCTGCGTCGCTAACTTGATCTGCTATGCTCTCTCTTCTCGGACTTCTCTACCGCTCTCCGCGCTCACATTATCTCTCATCTCCCTGCCGGCCTTTTGAACTTCTCCGCAGCGTAGAGCAAAAGCTCGTATTTCCTGTGTATTTCACGATTTTCTTTCTTTTTTTCTCCACTGGCGGTCCACCTCCCATCCCTACTTTCACATTTGAGTGGAATCACCTCATCAATTTAATCCTGATTCTTGCCTTTAAGCATAAATCTCGCGCAATTCATCCAGCAGTTATGACAATCCCGCTGCTTTTCCTCTTGTTTTCCTTGAATTCGGTAAAAAACATTCCAATTCCTGTCTAAAAAATAGGGTGCAATACTACTTTGGTGGGTACACCGGATATTTTGTATACTGACATGGGGACGGGTGTTCAGTGCTATGATTTCATAAGCATCGACAAATTAAGCTTCGGAGGAAAGGAGAACTTCGTCGCCTTCTGGTGCAAAGTAGCAATTCGTGAGCCAGGGAAGTGTAGCCACTTCAAAGGGGGGGGGGGGTGTATGAGGATGGGGTGAGGCGAGTCACCTAACATGCGCGAAAAGCTGGAGCGTTCCAGTCATTCCCATAACGTTTCATCACGTTATAATAGGGAACACCAGTTCCCACGTACATTCCGCGCCTACTACTCAGAAAATTATCATGCCCTCCCTACATGCATTGTGCCAATATTGAGAACAACAAATAGTTTCGTCGAACGAGAATGACGAGCGACGGATACTCATTTTATGCTTGTATGATTTTGAGACGGTTTGAGATTTTTATTTGTTGGGGGCGGAAGTGGTGTAGTGGCAAGTGGCGCGCTTACCACGCGAGCGGTCCGGGGATCAAATCCTGGGTCGTGAGTCGCCCGGGCCAACCAAGCCTTCCATCCCTCCGGGTCGGTTACTTGTCTGGGAGGATAAAAACACTGACTTGTACATCGGCTGGCCCCCGCAAGTCATTGTATAGGCCACATCGCATTCAAACGCCACTACGAATGTACAAATGGAAGTAGAATGCGTGCCGCATCCCAAAAAGGGATTGATCAACGGCAAATGCTTTATCCTTTTATCCTTTATGTTGCCTAAAATATATTATTTAGAGTATGGATTGCACTGCGTCACTCGAGCAGATTACCTCATCATCCCTTGATCTCCCTCTACCTCCAAGCATAGGCCAAGAGCAGGTGAGTCATCTTTTTCGAGGTGTCCAAGTCTCATTACAGTGATTGTGGCGCTATTGCAGTCTCCACAGAAGCTCAAAAATTGCCTATGTCACAGTTCTCTACAAGCAAGTAGCAGCAGTATTCAGGTTCAACTTCCCCAAGCGTCGGCCGAATTGCTCGCGCAAATGCCAGCGAAATCGGTTATACAGGACGACATCCGCAGTGGCAATGGACGGTTTCAGCTAGTACGCAAACGTGGTCGTAGCGAAGTCTGGAATCTCTTCGGGCAGGTCAGTAGCTTTCAGGACTAAAATGACATCTGAATGTAGGCAAGTTCCGAGGATAAAATTGGCGTGTAGGAGCGTTCGATAGCGGGGCTTTAGGTGCGGAGTGGTCTGGAAAAGAAAGCAGGACAAACCCTCTCCCCCCGATTACGCCTCATAAGCGGAGAGGGAGTGTTTTGTCGCGCACCTTCAAGCTGCGAAAGGAGCGCAGCATAAACGTTTATCCGCCTGTCTGCTAAACACTGGGATGGAACATATGAAAGTGCCTAATCCTGGGCCATGTCTTTAATTGACAGCCATTAGTTAAGCAGTGGCTATGCAGATGACAACTTTTTCTGCGAGATAACCACAATTACCGAGTTAAGGTCACTTCGCAGTGCTCTTTCGCAGAATCCTAACCTTTCGAATATGAGCGCACACTCTTTCACCACGTTTTTACGGAATACCGCTCGTTCTCGCTCTCACAAGGGAAAGGATACCAGGTCGAAGTGGCCATTTGTAACGAGACATACACCACTAGATGTGTTTTTGGACGCTGATCTCGAATCTGCTCTCCAAATCTGCGGAACGATTCTCTGAACGTAGTTATGAAGCGAGATAGTGCAGTGGCAGCGGCCCGGGCCGACGAGCAAGAGGTCGTGAGATCGACTTCTTGGCGAGTTCTCAGCTGCTTTTCTTGAAAACATTGTTCAAAGGACTCTTATGCATGCTAAATCATCAGCGACTGCCTATCCTGGAGGAGCTGGCAAAGAGCTTCGAACACTGTGCGCGTCATTTGCCGTGTCCTGGTCGTGTGTGCCCACATTCAGGTCAAATTTTGGATTTGGACCAAAAGTTGTCGGAAGGGGTAGTTTGATGCGCTGAACACGAAAATCACATCTATTTGGCAAGAAAGTGCATGACGCATGCGCTACGGGTGCCAGAGACGGTCATTTGCAAATGACGCACAGTGTTCGAAGCACTTCGCCAGCTCTTTCCACTTGTATGATAGGCAATCGCTGATGACTAAGCATGGATAAAGTTCTTGAAACAATGTTCGCAAGAAAAGCAAAAGTAAGAATTCGGCAAGAAGTCGATCCACGACCTCTTGGCGTCGCGACCTAGGCCGCTGGCCATTGCACTACCTCGGCTGTAATAAATACCGTCAAAAATTTTTTCGAAGTTATACGATGACGTTTCAAAATTCGCGCAAAATGGAGTTAGCACAATAATTAGTACCATGTTCATGATTGGGATAGTCAGTAACCCTTAAAATAGACTTGATTTAAAAAAAAACTGAGGGAAAAGTTGTGACATCTCAGTGGGGCCGTTTTGGTGATTTCACCAGTTTTTTATTCAGTCTTTTGAAGGTCTGGCGGGAGCGGCTTGGGGCACACTGTCCTCCCCTACCTAAATCCCTCCACCTACCAACCTACCCTTCTCCTACCCCTTACCTACCTAATCCTCCCAACCCTGCTTCCCCCCCTACTCGCTACTACCTACTACCTACCCCTACTTATGATGATGTTTGTTTATGCTACACGCATTTTTCGGCAGGCGAGTTTGGTAGAACGTCAAGCTCGAATGCAATGCTCAGCATGTTTGTCACCACGAGGAATCGAACTAGGGACCCCCTTTCTGGTATTCAGAGAGCCGTTCAGGAAAAATGAACCATGCTTCTGTGGTCCCCATATGTGCCCCAATGTCATGCAAGAAACCATTTTGAAAAAGCTTGGCACACCCTGAACGACCTCCCTTGTTAGTGTGAAGGTTCACTGCATATTGTGCATATTCCTGCCTGCGTACGCACCTGTTTGTGAAGCGCAAACCTCCCAAAAATTTGCCAAATGCGGTGGACCGACATGTACATGATTCTTAATGTTTGGCAAGGCTTCACCATCTACGGCCAGAAGTGGGATTTTTAAGGCTGTCAGCAAAATCAAAGGTGCGCTACCTTATTCCAGTTTGATTTTCGGGCCATTTTCGGATTTCCTACTTTAGTGAACGATCTAATTTCTATATTCAAAAGACTATGAAAGAGACATTGAAATTTCTGCCAGCTGTAAGAAATGCTTTGAAGGGCAGGAGGGCCACGGAAAGTCGTGCTTAAAGGAATCTTGCGCGAACAATTTCACTCTTTCTAACATGAATATGTCAGTTGTGATCACTGGAAATAGCACACAAAGTTTCACGCATGAAGATTCGGTTTCTGAGAGAAACAACGTACAAAAACTACACGTTATGGACCATCGAAGGACCAGGAGGCAGAGCCAGGCGAGGCATGGAAAGAAGACGGCGTTTGGCCGGCTACGTACCAGGCGACGCAATGAGAGAATCGGGTTAAAGCGCGCGATTTCGGAGAGTGGAGACAAATCGATCGATGGAATAGGATGGAGTAGAAGTAAGATGTGAATGCAACGAAGCAGAAGGCCAGAAAGAGCTTCTAGTGAATGCACTCCAAGAAACCAAGTTTGAGCATCCCGTCGCCAGCATTCGTGAAAGACGTCCGTGGGCAATTCGAACGCGTAGCAGCCTTTTCGAGTTTTCGAATTTCTAATCAAAACGAAAGCAATACTTCAGTTCTTTTCACTATTATCGTGGATAATGAGTCTCAAGCCAGTGATTTATGGCTGAAATAGAATCATGATTTTTCCGCGCAAGATTCCTTTAACAGGGAAGACTTGGAACCCGCGTGTACCGGATTCGGTGGTCGACAGTAACTTCGTCCGAAACTCCGTACACTTTTTTTACCATGTATGTACCACCTGGAGCCAGAGGGATAAAATATGTAGTGGTAAATAGAGGTGGATCATTTTCCGCCTTGCGTCGCTTTCTGTCGCGTAAGATGCCATCGTTGACGTAGAGCTTGAATGCCTTGTGACGTGAACTCGCTGTTCTTAGAAGGTTAAGACTTTAGGAGGGTATCCAGTGGTCAACTTGCGTATTTTTCGTAAGTTGGTGGTTCGAAAGCACAAAAAAACGAATCTGTACCTTTTTTTTATTGAGTGAGTTCTGTTGCTCAATTAGAAAGCTGACTGGTTGCAAGAGGGTTCTCTAGCTGCTCTATCTCGTTTGTTTATACTTCGCCCGCCCCCCCCCCCCCCCCCCCCCCCCCCCCCCTATTGCCCCTCTATAATTTGAGACAATTACCTTATTTGTATGTTATTACATACTTGTTTCGAACTCACTACATAAGTGATTAATGCAACACATGCATCTGCACCGTGCTGAATGCGTCATAACGTCTCAGCACCCCCGACCAGGTCCGGCGGCTGCGTAGCGTGTCCCTAAAACGGGGGGGGGGGTTGATCCAGTTTTGGGAGGAGGATCGGATCTTTTGGTTGGCGAGGGTCAAACTGAAGGGAGGTCGCATTGTGGCAATTTGATTGAGTCAGGGGTGCGGAAGGGGGTCATATTTGAAGGGTTTTCACCGATTTTAGCCGAAGTCTTATGGTTAGGGAGGAAGCATGAAATGGAGAAAATATCGTCTGGTCACAGAATCAAATACCGCAGAACAGCCATAATGGTGTGGGGGATGAATGAGGCTAGCGAGTGGGTTGTGCTAGGGTGAGGACCCTAAAACTGATATAATGGTTTTGGGGGGTATCGACACTTCTCCCCACTCCCCTGACGGCCTGACCGAAGGGGTCGTCAAATTTCTGGAACTGGAGCAGCGGACGGTTGACCTTTTCTCCAATCAGTTGTGCTACAGCGCAACACTAAAGAGGCATAATTCAGTCCTGTGTGAGATGCGCAGTAACAATAGTTTTTTTTTTACCGTAAGCAAAATCCGTATGTTCCACGTCTTCGAGGTGCTAATTCCCTGAGCTATCGAGAAAGGCCAACTATTCATAACTTGACGTCCACGACTCAGTAAACCAGCGAAGTGAATATTTGTATAAATGATGAAGCTCTTGGCGTCCCATCCCACTCAATAAGGTCTTCGCACTTCTGCTTTAATTCAGCGTTTTTCTACCGCGAAATTCGATACACCCTATGAATGATCTGCGGAAGTTGGAAGAAATAGAGGTCGTTGCTTTTTGCTTTTGGACGAGTCTTACGCCACTCGACTTATTTCACATCTGTAGTGGGGATAGAAAGCCACACGAGTAGTCTACTTAGAACTTCTTACAGGACCGAGCACCCAAGAATAAAGCAAAAATCCTCCAAAAAGCGATTTTTCGAGTTCGTTGCTTTCGAAGAATTGTTACAATGGAACCATCCACCTAATAGCTCTAGATTTCTGTATTTCACACCCTGGATGCAAGCGCAAATAAATGCCCACAAAAGTTTGATTCCCTGAAGAAGGCAGAGCAGAAGGCCTGGAAACATTTGGACACGCCTTAGTTGCGTGCCACCGCACGCGCCATCCCCTTCATCCGAAGGCTCGTGTTAACGGGGCAAGTGGCAGATCTCAATTCTATTCTGGAATTACTTTGAGGTAAGAGTTACAAATACTTCCCAGAAGTTGTTCCATCAAGCTACTATGCGTTTTTAACGACACAATGTCTTGGTCCTCATAATTTTGGACCACCCTGTAGTTCGTGAGGTGGTAAATTATGCATAAACATATCTATGAGAAATTTGCCCACTTGCCGTATCAACTCGACCGGCTTAATTTTTCAGGTACTTGATACGCTCACCAACGTTCGACTGCCATACGTAGCGTGTTATGCGTGTAAGGTGAGCAGTGTTTTTTCCTCATGTTAGTTATGGGAAACAGGGTCATTTGCTCTACATATGAGCGCACCAAACATCGGCTCCTCAAACTGGACAGAATTCGGATCTAAGAATTCTGTCCAGTTTGGAGTCCTGAAAATGTTTGCCGCCTTGCAGGCCTTCGATTTCTTCGAAGGACTGCTATCAATGCCTATACTCGGAATCTGTGGCAAGCTTATATTTATGTAGCAGACCTTCGCTTGAAAGAAAAAGATATTGTACTGAATACTGTACTATAGAACTTTCATGCCTGATCACAGCCTTTTGTCTCGATCACCATACTTTTTTGACTTTCCGAATATCTGGTCAGTGAGCACTAGTTCAACGGT